CTTCATCCAAAACCACAGCGGGAAAAACTCTGGAGAGGCCTTTGTGCAATTTTCCTCTAAAGAAGCAGTTGAGGAAGCTCTGCAGAAAGACAGAGAGCTCATTGGACAAAGGTAGGATGCTGCTGCGCTCGCACCACCCGTAATCTGTTCACTTCCAACTGACAGCTGCTGGTGTTACTGTGCAAATACCAGAAAACTCCTTTAACCCTAGTTAAACCTCAACGTTTAAAAAGAATAGTACCTCTCAGGACAACAATGTGTTGGATAGGGTAATTAAAGAAACTGCCATGGAAATAGTTAATATTAATGATATTTTTCCACCTTCACTGAGTTACATTTCTTAACTACTAAATACCAAATATTTATTTATTTTCAGAATTTAGAGCCTTTTTAATGCAAGTTTGTTTAATAAAGACACTGTTGCCCCAAACATGAGAACTGTTTCTGGCAGAAAATGGTAAGAAACTACAATTTGAGAGGTACCGCTTTAGATTGAAAAACCATGTAATAATAAAATGAAGGATTTCATGTTTTAATGGACAAGGGATCAAAAACTGTGGTTCTCAACGGAGACATACTTATTACAGGAATCTGACATTGAACATCCAAAATACAGGGAAAAAGGGAGGGAGGGGAAACACACCTCGGCCAGAATGTTTAATTAACACCGGCACAATGCTAAAAGGCAATCAACCTAGTGAGGCACAAGGGATATGCTCACCCCCTGTTGTTTGATTTGCAGATACATCGAGGTGTTTCCCAGCAGTACTGACCAGATCTACTCCAGTTGGGACGGGAACAGTAGTTCAGTTTCTCCTCAGACCGGCACTCAGTCCTCAAACAGGAAGAAGGCCTCTGACTCATTGGACAAACAAGGTGAGGGCCTTTTACGGCACGGCAGCTTAAACACTAGATGGACTTAATCAGCAGCTTATTTACAATGTATTTTTCTATTACACTAACACAATTCACACAACCTAAACTGTGGTAATACATGTTTTCTTTTAAAACAGTGATTATCTCTTTAGCTGTTTTAAGTGGTGACTTATTAAAGATAATAAATGTATGTTGGCTTTTTTTGTGGTAAATGATTTTTTGTGGTAAATGATTTAATCTGTATGTATATATATATCAGGATCCCCATATGCTCCATCAGGATCCCCTCATGGCCACCACATCCACATGAGAGGACTTCCTTACAAGGTGTCCACAGAAGACATTGTTAAGGTAAAAACTAAATAACTCGGAGAAGTTGAAGATGGTTGTCTTGTTTTATTAAAGGTCAATCCTCATGTGATTTGATATTTTTGAGTATGTTTTTCTCCCGCAGTTCTTCAGTCCTCTAGTTGTGTCTCAAATCACCATTAAGCGCGGTCCTGACGGGCGGCCGAATGGAGGGGCCGAAGTTTACTTCAGCACCCACCAGGACGCCTTGAGCGCCATGTCCAGAGACAGAGATTACATAGGTGAGAACGGAGGGACAGCTGGTGCTGGTGTAGATATGGTGTTTGTTATTTACTTTCATTTGTCAGGATGTTATAGCAAGTTTTTTTTTTTAGATGTCACTGCATCACCATGATGGAAATAATGTCCATAACTTATTATTTATCCTCGTACAACGCCTTCGTATTCTTAACAGTTCCGTATATTTTTTAATGTACGTTATCATTTTAGATAAAGTAAACAGTCAACAACATCTTCTATGTATGTTATGGTTGAAGCATCTTAAATGTGATTGGATGTCATCTTTACTATAATCCCCAGTTTTACTGGTCTGCTACAACATTATGTTACATTATAAAAAAATGATATAATAATCACTGTTGTGTTTGTGTCACTGCGGGTTTAACTGAACATTTGAACCTTCTTTGATTTTTAGGACAAAGATACGTGGAGTTATTCCTGAACTCTTCAGAAGATTTAAGGTGAGAAACACTGAATTAGGTCCACAAAGTTTAAAATTCCAACTTAAAAAATCTGCTGCATTTCTTCATTTCTAAAAGACAGGTTATTATTAGATATTCTAATATTTAAATGTGAATTCACTTCTTTTACCTTACTTAATCTCTGCTATACTTTTCAACTCTGGATGTGGTTTGACATATTGTACCGTCTCCTGCAGGTGAATGCCGTCCCAGATGCCAAAAAACACACATACAGTACACAGGACTATTGTATTTATGTTCAACCCTACTTGGACTTCAAACAAGAAACATTCCGTGTCAAAATAAAAATAAGTTTGTAACTGGAACCGTGTGAGATTCAGCTGAGTTTTTCTTCAACTCCTCCATAATGATGCATGCTAATCTGCTTTGAAGGTGTAGTGAAACCAAACCATTTAATTATTCTTGTCAATACAATTAGCAAAATTGTGGACACTTTTACTCTAAATCTGATGTTTCAATATCTGCTAAACTTATGAAGCAATTAACCAAATTTAAGTAAATGGACCTCCCCTTATAGTATAACCTATTTCACATTTGACCACCACCATTGTATTAAGCAATGAAAATAGCAGCATGATTCTTGGCATATTAGGCACCACGCGCTAGTTGATTCACCTTTGAGATAACATCCAATTATGTAATCAATTTACAGAAAGTGCTTATGCTTTACAAAAACTAGCATCTAAAGTGATTTGTGTTTCGATCAGAAATAAAAAGGTTGATTTGAATGGTAAAACTAATTGCAGATACATCTTGTCAAAGTTGTGTCTGTGAACCAAAGATAACTTATTGTTAACAGTCATCCACTTTAACCTAAGAGCTTTTTATCTATTCTAAAAATAAATCTATACAAAATAGCTCAAAGCAATAAAGAACACCATGCACACTGAAAATGTCTTGGAAAACCTAAGGATTAAAATAAAAATGACTGGATAATCCATTCAAACAGTAACATTTAATAAAAGTTTATTGTTGATCATCTAACACGCATTTCCATCTCATGTGTTAAAGAGCTTCAACAAGAACAATAAGCTGTTTTACTGAGCTTCTAATTTTTCTTCAGATAAATCAAAACATAAAAAAGCTGTTGCAGCTATAAGCCCTATTCAGTACAGCCAGAGCCATGCTTTTAAAAGTGCCGTAATATGTTTAGATGTCCAGAAAAGAAAGGTAAATTATCCAGAAAACAATAACCTCAACTGCCGAACAGGGTCTTTAAGAAAATGTGTTAATGCCACTCCTAACTAATACTGAACACAATAGTAAATAAATATTTTACCAAGAATATTCAGCTTTGTAAACTTAGTGTGGCATCATGGGAAATACGATTATGCCTGAAGAAGCTACAGCCACTAGCATGTTAGCTTAGCCGAGCATAAAGACTATCTGACTCAGTCCAAAGGTTTGCCTTCCAGTAATTCTAAAAGTCACTAAAACACATTCAACACTAAAGGAATTTACTGTGCCCAGGAAAAAGAGTCCCCCCATACCATCATTTTTACACTTTATCTGTTTTCGTACTATAAAACAAAATATATATATACCAATTCTAGTCTTTGTGCTAAGCTAAGCTAACCTGCTGCTGACTGTAGCTTCATATTGAATGTAGTTGTAACGATTTTGTCATTAACTCATTGCAAGACAGAATCAGCACACTGCCCAAAATGTCAAACGGCATACTCCACTCTACAGTCTGAACAGCACAGTGTGAAGTCTCCATCACATAATGATATTGTGATAAGAAACACGGCACAGACTAGCAATTTGCCATTGTGATACAGTAGCCTACATCTTAAATATTTGTATTTTTTCTAGTCTTAAAATTACTCATTAGACTTGACACATGTATTATTAGAATTTCTTTAAATTCAATTTTAGAGTGGATAATAAAGCTTTCTCCAAATATTGACACATTTTAAATACAATGTTTCATAAAGTATTTGGTCAAAAGTGTGAAACTTCATGCTTCATCTAATCCACTGGATTTTTTACTGATCTGTATAGAGTGGCAAAGTCACGCCCACTTACTTCCGGGTAATGGGACCTTATTTCGGAAAAATTATGCATTGAAGTCAATGGGGAGAGAAAACTTATCTTTCGATCCCGTTTGAATTGTGCCATGAATTACACATATGATGTTTGTCAATCTTAAAAAATAATTTCCATGTCAAAAAAGTCACAGTTTGTCGTAAAACTGTTGAAATATAAGACTGAAAAATACGCAACTAGAAAGACTACAAATCCCAGAGTCGCGTAAGTGATGTCACAATTGTTTTCCTCCACCATTCAGATACCTAAGATCAGCGCAATATAGATATAATCTATCTATATGGCGCTGGCTAAGATAAGATAACTTTAACAAGATGCCTGTGTGCTTAGTACCAGGTTGTTATTATACCAGCAATGGGTCTTGCTCGTTCTTTTGCTTCCCGTCTGATGAAAGGACCAGGAGTGGCTTGATCAAGTTAGCTACCTAGCTCGTAGCTAGCACGTTAGTTAGCATTACAGCCTTGTCATTTTTATTAGCCTTAACATGAAGTAACATTAAGTAACCCAAAATGTTAAACAGTAAGAGTAGTAGTCATATTTCGTGAACCCTTTGAATAGTACTGTCACCGGTGTGATCATTCTATAATACACCATTTAAGCCCGGGGGAGAAATGCTAACGCTAACGTTAGCATCGGCGATCTTCTCTACTTCATGCTAGACATTAAACATTAAAACGACCAGGCAGTTCAGAGAGAATCAAAGGAAGGCAGGCAGGCAGCTTTGCATGACATTCTTCAGGACGTGTTTCATTGTGGTGATAGTGAGGATAGTCAATCGTTTTGTTGACAAGACAGTAGTGACGGCCATCTTGGTGACGTGTGTTGTTGACCAGAGATGTAGTTCATTGAGCGTTTCACACAAACAAATGTCTTACTTCACAGTTTTACGACACATTTTTTTTTTTTTGACTTGCAAAATTATCTTTTAAATTGACAAACATCATATGTGTAATTCGTGGCACAATTCAAACGGGATCGAAAGATAATCTTTCTCTCTCAATTGACTTCAATACATAATTTTTCCGAAATAAGGTCCCATGGAGGTCCACCGGAAGGGGAGGGACTTCGCCACTCTATATGATTTAGAGCGGTGGAGAACAGTTGTGACTAAAACAACAAAAAAGTCTTGTATTTTAAAACCTAATTACTTTTAATATAAATATAACAGTTGACCTTCTTAATCAACCATCCACTTAGTGGACATTGTGCAGAGTCAGTTTTCATGCACGAGATGAGATGATTCAAGTTGACTTTTTCTATACATTTCAATCCAGGTGCCATTTGACAGCTTTTTGAGTGCAGGTTTTCCCGGAGGAAGAATAACAGATAACAACAGTATCTGAAAGAATAAAAACCTGCCTCCAAAAAAACAGCTCTAATTGGCACATGTTTGGACATTAGAGTTCAGACCTCCTTCGGATCGCCATCAGATTTTTCATAACGTCTCAGGACACAAAGTCAAAAAGTGCATTTTTGCAGTGCCAGCTTTGTATTGAATGCCTCGGTTTCCATGTGTCCGATCATGGTGTCCTGTAGTAAAATGCGGAGTTGTTTCAGGTTGGTGTTGAAGCGTATTGTTGGAGCAACAGAGAGAAGCAGGAGGTACACACAGTCTCTGGGAGGATGGAGGAAGGTAACGGCAGCTCGTTGGACACACAGCTCTCACAGAAAACCCCGCCGCAGTTCTTACACTGCTTCTGCACACAAGAGAACAGGGTTATAACACACTGGGACAGGAAGTGAAGGACGCTGGCAGATTGAACCCCACAAAGTATTATTTATTTCACACCTCAATAGTTCTTATAGCACTTTGGCTGTTCCATTTATATCCTGATTTCAAAAAGTTGAAACAAACCATTTTTCTCAAATTATAATTAATGATATTTTTGGGCAAGTGACTACTTTTTAAGTATTCAAAAATGCAGCACCGCATTGATCCAACTGAAGATTTAAAACAAGGTATGTTTTACTTCAGAGCAGTAACAGCTCTTTTGTAATTCTGTTTTCATGTCTGCTGTTGAGAAAGTTTCATAATGCGGCCAAACTTTCTGTCTATTTAATGTCAATATTTTTAAATCTTAAGAAATCAATTTACTGTACGTCTCACTCAGAGCTCGAGTGGTTCACCAAACATGTCAATGGTATAAAATCAAATCAATACAGGCATCCAGGAAATAATCTGCAGATGCTCAGTTTAAAAATGTGACCAAACTTTATGTGAGATTAGCCACATACACAAATGCATTATCCACACAGGCTAATATGGTAAATATAATACAAATTAGTTGATAAAGTGAAATTGAATTGATGCTAATTTGAATTAAAAGTTCATAATGGAGGAGTGCCATGACCAAGTTAAAATTTGGTATGAAGAATAATTGGTCTTCAAATCCCATTTGTGTAAACCTTGCATTTAATTGTATCATTGGTTGTCAGTTCCAGTAATGTTAGGGTAAAGACAGAGGCTGTGGGCTTTTGATTTATAGCAGCACTTCATATTGTGAAATGTATTGTGGGACACGAAGGTAGGAATAATATTCCGTTCTCGTACCTTTGTCTTCAGAAGGGAGTCCTCCTGTTCACACATCGTACAGATGCACGGCGGACTGATCTCCCCTAAGGACTCTTCCTGCAGGAAATCGGTTGAAAATAAGACTGATTATTATTATTCATATGGTTAATTATAGCCGTTTTCTTATGTATTGAATCGCTGATTGACTGTTACTACAGTTCTTGTGTGCATCTGTATGGTAACAAACTACTTAATTTAAATACTTGGAATGATTTTTTCCTTATCAAAAAGGTATAAACGGATAATAAACTACAGTAAGATAATCAAATATGTTACGTAGTGCATGTTAGACCTTACCTGCTCATCCTCATGGTGTGACCTTGAGGACCTTAAAAAAGGAGGTAAAATAATAAATAAAAATAACATTTCCTCAATGATTTATGTTTTTCCTAAAGCTGTAGTTGTTAACAGGACCTACAGGCTGGAGCTCAGACTGCTCTTGTCCTCTGCTCCTGACTGCTCGCTCTCCCTTTTGGCTGACAGAGCTTCTGAGGGACGCTGTTCGGACAATACACAGGTATTATATAAATAACAAAGTGGAGACAGTCAAACAACACTTTTAATTATCTGAGATCAGAGCGTTACCTTTGGTATGTTCTCTGGGAGTCTCCTTTCCCTCCGAGGAGCAGCAGGCTGTGCGGACGCAGCGTCGCCATGGTGATGCTCGCTCCGCCGCTCCCGCTCTTTCCTCAGCTCCACCTCCAGATAACCCCTGAAACCAGCAAGTGTAACGTATAAACAAGGACAGAAGAGCAGGAAAACAATGATCTGAGTCTAAAAACGAAATTAAGGCCACTTGCAGCATTTTTAAAGTCACCTTATATAGAAAAAACACATATTTTAATATTTACCCCCACATTACCATTACTATAGATTAGAATTGAGTTCATTTCCCAGAAGTCTTTTCACCCTGCATAAAATCAGTGGTGTAAAGTAACTTACTAAAGTACTGTAATTAAGTATAATTCTCAGATACTTGTATTTACAGTTTTTGTTACTTTATACTCCACTACAATTCAGAGGTAAATTGTGTACCGGTACTTTGACTTTGAACCTTAAGTTACTTTACAGATGTGGATGAATGATCTGAAATATAATCAAGTGTTAAATCAGACTTTAGTTCCACCTGGAGTAAATTCACAAGCTACCCTGCAGTATACAAAGTCATTACAACTAGCTGCACCTTTACCAGCTTTTTTGATAACACTTTAATGCATTAATACTTATAATCAAAACACAATATATAAATGATTCTGAAATGGGCCTATCTGCACAATACGTACTGATGAGTACTTTAACTTTTGGTACTTTAAGTACATTTTGAAGGTAATACTTTTGTACTTTTACTTGAGTAACATTTTGAATGCAGGACTTTTACTTGTAACAGAGTATTGTACTTTTACTTAAATACAAGATCTGAGTACTTTTTCTACCTTTGCATAAAATGTACTATGGTGTTTATACAACAACAACAAGGTAAGAGAAATTAAAATTGGACAATTAACAGCAAATATTGAAAAACTATAATAAAACATAGAAACAATAGTTTTTATAAAATAATACAATTTAAAAAAAATGTGTTTTTGAAAAAATACATCTAGATAAAAGAAAACATAATATAATCTAAATAGGATAAATAACTGAAAAAGACAGAGTAGAGTACCTGTGCTTCCTCAGCAGCTCCACCTCTACCTGCAGACTCTCGATTTTGTCCCCAAAGTCCTGTTTGAAGAGCCGGTTGGCCTCTACAGCCAGAGCCCTCTCTCTCTCAGCCTGTTTGTATCTGGTTAGGGGAGGGGGTGTTACACAAACTTATGGTAAAATAAAAACTTGACGAAAAGAAACATGGTTGGAACAGAAATAAATGAAAAAACACAAAGAAGTGAAGACTGAAAGAACCTTAGCCAAAGAAGATGAAGCAGGCTGTGTTTGTTTATTGTTTTATTAGCCTAATGATTACTACAGTTTACACCAATGTTATGCTCACATACAATTCAAAATTAATACATTAATTTTGCCATTTTCATATTTTTTTCATCCTACCCTTGTCCTGGCCCTTTTACACTTGAATTTGGATCACCAATTGACAGCATGTGACACCAGCGCATCAACATCATTTCATTCTCTGTGGGTCGGGCATTTTCTTATTCTTTGGAGTAACATTACTGAAAGTCCATTACCTCCTAAATAACCAGGAACTGTTCACTCAATCCTTGAAATCTTTAAAAACTGTTCCCAGTGAACTTCCAACCACCCTGCCATCTACTCGTCTTTTGCCAAAAAAGCATCAATGCGGTATTTTGAAGAAATGCCTACCAAACAGAAGTATAACTCTGATGTGGATAACATCTGAACACAAGGATTTAGGGACGCTAAATAGATCCATTCAGTCCACACTACTCGAAGCGGATGCTGGAGAGCCACTGCAGGAGCTTGTGGGAAAATGGTTTGATTTTCAACAACAAAGGAGCATGGTACAGAAAAGAGATAACATCCTAGTTTGGTTATTTCTATATTAGGCAGGGGTTGTATGTTTGTATTCAGTTTTATGAAAGCGGGGAGCTACTGCTGCAGCAGCTTCCCCGCTGCTGAGTTCAGGTTCCTAGCCTGCTTCACCAAATGCTTCTCACTAAATGATTCAAATAAATAATGAGAATGAACAAATTAATGAAAGTGGAGGGAGGAGAATGACAAAAAAGGACAATAAGATGTTTTCATAAGTGATTCCGTGAAGAAAAAACAATGTACTGTAGTAATAATTCAAAAGGCAGTCTTTGGAGGAGCTGTCCTCACCTGGTCTCCATCTGTTTGACAGTGCCTGACATCTGGTTTATCTTCTCCTCCAGGCGAGAGATGGCTTCACTCTTCTGTTTAGAGCCGGCGTCTGCACTCTGAGGAAGAGGAGGAAACGGCAATTTATTAGAATAAAAAGCCTTTATTGTCGTTATACAAAAAATATACAATGATATTTTGTAGTGCTACCCTGTCAGTGCAGAAACAAAAACAGACAAACAATAAAAACACAGAGACAATCATACAAGGTAATACATGATATAAAAACATACGAGTTGGGTAATTTAAATAATATTGCACTTATGACTGCTGGTTTAACAGCATGGTGGCCAGGGGTGAAAACTGTTTTTCTGTTCGTCCGTGTTTTAAAACTCCTGTATCTCTGACCGGAAGGCAGGAGAGAACAGTTTGTGACCTGGGTGGGGGTAGTGCTTTATCAAATCAAATCAACGTTTATTTGTATAGCCCAATATCACAAAACACGTTTGTTTCAGTGGGCTTTACAGATTAAAAACCAACACTGTAAACAATGAAATTACAGCAAAAATAAAAAGACAAGATAGTGTGTAAAATACAAATGTTAGAAATTGACTCAGCATTCTCAATAACCCCCAAAACCATTACAAAAATTGTCCAAATCGGCCAAGCATTTAAAAAAAAAAAATATATATATATATTGTTTACATCAAATGCCATTGATGCCAATTAACTCGACTTATGCTAGTTAAATGAAAGTTAGCATTCTGCAGTTTTTTATGTGCTGAGGACCCCTACTTAGGGATGGGTATCGTTTGAAATGTATCGATTCCGATTCCGGTTCTGCTTATCGATTCCAGTTCTTATCGATTCCCCGTTTCGATTCCAAAATTGTAAAAGAAAGAGGTCAAACGTTTAGATAAAACAAAATATCTTTATTCTTTTAAGCTTTAACTGACATTTTTACAAATAAAAATATACATGCAATACAAATGTATTGCACAATAGCTGTGCTTTATTTTAACTGAGCTATGCCTGTGGCAAGCTATTAACAGGCATTACACTGTGCCTTGTCTTTTTCTTTTTTAGTGTAGTGGAGCCTCACTTTAGAGCGTTTACCGCGATCCATCTTTGGTGTTATGAAGTGACTGAGCTCGTGAACTGTCTACGGGAGGGCGGGGGGAGCCTCACTGCGGGGCAACTGTGGACCTCTGTCGCCGCAACTTACATGATGCCGTTTAAAAAAATGAAGGGCGGTGCCGGCCGTCAGCGTACCGAGCCGGCCGTCAACGGCCCGCTGACGACCGGCCGTTCTGTGATTCTCCAGAACACACAGATGGCCAGTCCGCCCTTACCCTGGCTGTATTCCACCGGGTCACCGCGGCGCAGACGGACCCGGTGGAATACAGGGTCTACCGCGTTTAGGAACCGTTAAGCAGAACCGAAATTGTGTATTTTGTATGGATACCCGGTAACCGGCATTTTCTTATCGGTTCTCATCTGGAACAGAGTTTCGGTTCCCAACCCTACCTCTACTACACATTTATATCATAAAACTTTGGTGTACTCAACATTTCCGGGTTCATAATATGACCCTATGAGCTGGCAACTAGATACTAGACTATAACTCTAAAACAATAAGATAAATTACATTTTGGGGTTTTTCCCTGTAAAGCAGACAACAATAAACGGCTCAGTATCCCTTCCTTTTCTCCGTTGATGTGAAATGTAAGGATGGGAGCAGACTGACCTGAGACTTGTGGCTCAGCTGCTGGTTGATGACCCGGAGGTCCTCCAGCTGCTGTCTCAGCTCCATCAGCGCGTCCTGCTTCTCACACACGTCTTTCTCAAGCATCTTCATGGACAGCTCCATCTCCTGCTTCATCCCGATCTGCACCTCCAGCTCCTTCTCCACATCCTGCACACACACATCCAACTTCAGACACACACTTCACAAAAGGAAGCTGATATTTCCTCTGCGTAGGGATTCTACCTATCTAGGTTAAGTTAACATGCCGTGTTTTAGCATATCAGAATGAGACATCCTTTATTTGTCCTGCAGCGGGGACATTTACTGCACTACAGCAGCAAAGGTAGATAGCGGTTAAAAGGCAAAAAGAAAAAAAGTAGACTATAATATTAAATAGAAAAGTAAACATGTTATTTAGAAATATAAACAAATAAGCAAAAACAAGTAAGTGAACTGAAAATAGTAAAAAGCTGAATTTTAAAACGTAAGTGAAAGGTATTCAAAAATGGTAAATACATTTTAAAGAAATAAAGCGAAATTGCACATAAGTGTATATTTTATATCCATATCTATTCATTTGATAGATTCTCTCAGTATGTCATAACAATATAGACACCCAAACATGAACAGAGAAGCTTTGTGAAGAGCCTGAACGCACCAATCGAAGCAAAGTTTCCTCTTTGAGCTGCTTGCGTGTTTCACCCAGCACCTGTCCGTCTGGGGCCGAGTCGCTTCTTGATGCCTGAAAAAAACAAAGGATTTTTTGTGAATGTATATTGCAGAAATATGTACAGTTAAAGGCGACCCTGAGATACCTTTGAGAACAAGTGATTTAACTTAGCTACCAATCACCACCATTCAAAACAGCGGCTGAGCAATATGGTAAAAACAAATACTTCCTATATCAACTACCACAGTGTGACAAATATTGGATAGATCATGTATATTTCTTTAATACAGAGGGCTTGTAATAATCAATAATATACACTCGTTTGTCTCAATTAGTAATGGATACAATCCTAATAAAAGTGTATTTAAATATATGCTAAAATTGAGATATATTTTTAACGTATTAAAAGAGGAATCCTTGAACCCTAATTCGTTTTTAGTAATCTGGGTTACATTTCTTTGTCACTAATTATGACATTTAAAAAGAAGGATCATGAGATTTATTAGGAAAACAAGAATGACCTTAATACCATAGGATTGGAAACTACATATTATATAACTGATAAACATACTGCACATCATTTATTGTGTAAAAGTAACTGTATATCTATAAACATGGCTTGGTTGAATACTTGATTCTAACTGTTCTAATAATTCAGAGGTTGTTAATACTCACAATCAATAAAATCATTTAAAATGAATATTGTGAGTCAAATCGTTGGTTTATTCAGTATGTGGCTGTGTAATGAGTGGGCACATTATCCCTTAAAATGTCTCTTAAGTTCTACTGTTATTTGTTTATTGTATTGTTTTACTTTATTCTAACATTTAAAATAATCATCGCATTGTAAACCTCTGGTCTCTGGTCACCCTACTACAAACATATTTTTCTGGATTGCATTTGAGGTGTACATTATTGAGTATGGATAAAATGATCATACTGTAGTGTTTTGTCTCCATTTTCCAAACAATGAAATGTGTGATGTGCTCACCTTCCTGGACTCCAGCTGATATGAGCTCTCCTCCTTCACTTTCTCCACGTCTTCTTGTAAAGTGATGATCCTGTTATTTGCCACGGCGAGCTGAAGAGACAAAAGTCAAGTAACCGTTCTGTAAACAACAACAAACCAACCGCTGTGTTTTAGCTCAGCTGTGAACGACTCTCACCTCTTCTGTTAGCTTCGTGTTAGACTTCTCCAGAGCGTCCACCTTGGCCTGGAGGTTATTTACTGATGCGCTGTAAACAGAGGAAACATCACGTCAGTCTGGAGCTCAACACGCTGCTGGAGAAGGTGAAGAGGGGCTCTGACAAACCTTAAATGTCTGTTCAGCTCCTCCACATAATTCTTCTGGTCGAGAATCGCTGTGATCTGACCGTCACTGAAGAAGCAGGAATTATTGTTTTAGTCAGTTTTCATTGAACCATGCAAAAACGTGTTTTTAAATGTTCAAGAAAAAATGCTTTTTAAGTTGTAAGAAGTTCAGATATTCCCTGTCCTAACATTTAAGTAAATAGACAAATGTAGTAGGGCTGATCAATTAATCGTATTTTAATTGCAATTACGATTTTGGCTTGCAACGATTATGAAAACAACATAATCGAAATAAAACGATTATTTTTATTTTTATTTTTTTTATTATTTTTTTTTTTATTGGTTTTTCAGTTGAATTATACTTAAAGTTCAGGGTAATCAACTGTTAAAAACATACTGTTCAAACATTTTTTTTCAATAAATGGATGTTTTCAAAGTAAATGGATAATCGTTTTTAATAATCGTGATATCAATTATTGACCCAAATAATCGAGATTATGATTTTTGCCATAATCGAGCAGCCCTAAAATGTAGTGAGACAAAGTAAAAGATTAAATGACAACATTAAGACATTTGAAAAGCGCTTAGGATATTTTGTAGACCAAATAATAAAATCGGGAAAATAATTGGCATATGAATCAATAAATGCTTTAGATAGATAGATAGATACTACAGAAATTAAACAACTACATATTTTGATAGCTGAATTGATTTTGAAGTAAGAAAAGAGAACTCACCCTTCTGCACTCTTACTACTGTGTCCTCCATCTTTGAGGTACATTGAAAAATCAATCACCCCGACCTGCAGAAGTAATTCAGTAAGAAGGAGAGGATCAATGACAACTGAAAGCACACTGCAGCTCTAATAACACGAGTGCTTCTGGAAGAGCTTTACTAATGTGTGCACTTTGATGCATGTCCACATACAGTTTTGTCCTGGTTTAGATGCATTCAGGTTATCTAAATATTTCAGGAGTCAGTTAACAAGAACTTTGTTAGTGGAGAGGTTTCACTTTGTCCTACTTGGAGTAACACTTGTTTAGGAAAGTGATGGCAAGCTGCCTATCCTCCCAATAACTCTGTCTTTATTCCCAAATTGCCAGCTGATGAAGATTAAAGACATTTACTTGATGATTTCTGGAATAGAAGTCTTGACATTGGATGAATGCAGGTTTATTATGGTGACAAATGAAGAGACAAAGTGATTCAGAGCCCTTTAAATACATTTTGGAGATTTTTTCTTTTAAAGAATTCAAATGTTTTCAGGGTAAAAAACATATTGAAGTTACAGTTATTTTTAACTGTTCTGTTTCGTATGTTTAAACATGCAAATGAAGCATTATGTTATCCTAACATTTGGTGAATTGAGGCGAAATCTACACTTAGAAAAACTGTTAATTCAATGCCTACATAAATACCCTACAAAGTTATAACAAAAATGTGAAAGGCAAGGGATTAAACTAAAGTGTTCTTGCTCACTGCTGCCGACATGTTTATTCAGAGTATTTTTAGCCTACACAAACACGATGCAGTATTTTCTGTTATCTGAGAGATACATTAGACGTTAGGTCCCTGCCTTCATGTAACCACTAGTCAAAATGTCCCTGTGTTATAGCAGCTCTGAATATTGGTGGACATGGAGGCGTTACCTGAGAGTCCAGGTCCTCTCCCTTCATACACAGATTAGCATCAATGACATTTAGTCCAACGAGCAGCCCAGCGATGACAGCTCCTTCCTCCTCCATCATCAAGGCATTCGCTTCATAAAATTCACTATAAAGTAGTAGTGAGAAACAGTGTCACTGACAAGAAAACTGCTTAATGTTCCAGCAGTTTTACATTTGTTTGGTTGTTACAGAGCTTATTTTCTGCTATACTTCAAAATCCAATGGGAAAATATTGTGAATTATGTAGAGGGAAGCAATGCGATGCTATCTTCCAGGCCGAGAAAAAAGGCATCATCCCCGTACCACTTTTGAGGGTCTAATGAAAGACTCTATAGAGTGGTGCAGGCCTGAGTCCTTAAACCGGGAAATGAGTCAGCATTTTAGCACTTCCGGGTTCCCTTGACTTGAAAAATCCCATTGCTTTTTGTCGGGGAACCCTTGGGATGCTACATTCTGGGTCGGCCTACAAAGATACGTCAATACACCACTCTACTCATGCTGCATTATGGGGAATGTAGGATCCAGTGTTTTTGGTGCTTGGACCAGTAGCAGGGAGACAAAGACTTCTCTGATATTTACTACAAACAGGGAAGGTATGTGCAAATTGCTTTCATTAGGTGATTAAAACAGAAAACTATTTTATTTCTTGTCCTTACTTCTAAACAGCTATTCCAGGTGCCAGTGGGCCTCACCTGAGCAGGTCCTTTCTGTTGATGATGGTCTTCATGTAGTCAGAGAGTTTCTTCTGCATCAAGGCCAATCGCAACCAGGCACGCCCTCGTCCTAGAGGAGTCCTGTAACCAAACACAGGAGACTTCAATTAAAAAAAACTCTTCAATAAACAACTGTCCAAGCAGCTTCAAATGGGCACCAGGGTTCGTTTTTTGAAAAAAAGCGCCATGATAATTTCAACAAAGTCTATTAGTCTAGTTGCCAGCTTAGTGAACCCGGAAATGTTTAGTAGAAACATAGAAACTGCCTGATGTTAACTTGAATATGTTGGGCAATTAGCACAATTAGCGTTAATTAGCATTGTAGCCTATGTTGACAATAGTAAAAAAAACTGGCTTGGCCCATTTGGATAATTTTGGTGTGGTTTTGGGGGTTATTGAGGATGCTGAATCCATTTCTGAAATGTTCAGGACAAACAATTGCAGTTTTACCAGAACGTGGCCATATTTGTACTACCATGAATAGTGTTGGCGACCATTGGTTACAGCACCAACTGAAAGTGATTGCCTCTACTGTGGACACATTATTTTTCAAATAAATAAGCAATCTGTCCAATCGAAATGATCCAGAGCCCCCTAAATCTTCTAAATCAACCCAAAATGTATCAGAATCAGCCCACAGAGAGTACAATTATGTTTTTTTCTGGCTATAGCTGCCATTTTATATCCCGAAAATGTCAGAAATGGACTCAGCATCGACAATAACCCCCAAATCCCGTACTATACATTTCAGACATTAAACTTTGGTGCACTCAACATTTCAGGGTTCACAACAGGACTCTGAGCTTAAGTTATGACAAATCAGTCTGCCCTCTTTAGGTAATTGATGTAATGAACTCACTTGAGGCCAGGCAGGTCTTTTACACTGGCAGTGATTTCTCCTGCCTCGGGGGTCAACTTCTCCACCAGCTCCAACGCCCCCCAGAACGACTTGTTCTGCCCCAGGAAGGTCTTCTTGGCTGAGGAGGGAGACAGTGATTGTTAAGCCTTTGTTTTTGATGAATTTGGGTCACTGAGTCATCATACTCAGCAACAGAAACTAACTTGGAATAATCTTTGAACTGAAGTGGACAAAGATAACTCAAATGTACCCAATACAGAGCATTCAATTAGCAAAAATGTCGTTCTTACCACTTATATATCCCTCATTTGGTTGGTTTGAATAGATATTTGCTAAATAAAGTAATTTTCATATGATGATAATACAGATGTAGATTGGATGGAAAAAAGATGTTCAGTAAAGAGTATTTTAATGAATATTGATTTAGGGAAATCGAACAATATGGAAGATAAAAGTTATTTCAAGAGACTTAAACTCTATGTCTATGGAGCTGGGTATACATGCAGGAGGTATTAAGGTAAGTAGATTGTTAATATTTCTTTACAACTACACAGATTGTATATTTCTATGTATTCTGGTAGTGAACTAAGAGACATTTTGTATGTAACATATTGTATACAGTAACCACAGAGGGCACACAGTAACTTACATTTCCATACAGCTTAATTAAATTAAATCGTTTTTTTAACCTGTTCAACCCTGAGCTTGTTTTTCAGGTCTCAGGCTCAAAAATGACATTCCCTGAACAAATGACCATATCTTCCCTTCTAAAAGGGTTAAATTAATAATCTTTGTTCTCAAAGTAATGATAAACCTGTGAGTTGGATGTAGAAAAGTCAGAAATCAATATAGATGTTTATATATATAGATATATATAGATGCCCTGAGACACAGTCTCGAAAAAAACCGTTGGGAGGGCCCCCAGTGCTTAAGAGGAATGCCACCTTAAAATATATTTAAGAGCAATCTTAAGCAAATGTTTTCCACTTTTTCAAAATGTTTAAGGTTAAAAGGAGAAAAGGTTTTAAGAAGTATTATGTTACCAATTACTTAGAGATTTTACAATGTAACATCAGTAAAAACAATTCATAAAAATCCTACCATGTCTTAGCAGTTTTTAGACTTTTCAGAGATGAGTTCTAACACCAATAAGGCCTTATCTTGAATTTAATTAATTAATTTAAGACTTTGTAATGCTCCTCAAGAACCTTGTTTACAGACTAAGAGACGTTAAGGGTGTTTTCACATATAGTCTTTTTTTAAACAAAATATTTTTGGGTATATCTAATGTCAACTCATTAGAAAGAAGACACCTTTCTCTTTCTGGTCCACTTCAGCTCTGTTTCTATTCACATTGTAGTTGTTTTGGAGCTCTTAAAATGTTTTGTTGAAAACAATTAAGATGGAGTATTAACCAACAAAATATTTTAAAAGTAATATGAATCCTGTACTATCGATATCACTTTTAAAATATTTTTTTGGTAACACTTTTACCAAACATTTATCAACATTAGCTCTTGACATTTGACATCCCATATAACACTGTTTTCAAACATCAGTAAATGCTGTGTTGCACATTGAACTGTGCAACGATAATAATGGCTTCTATATAATCAATCAAAAGTATTGAAATGACTCCAAAAAAAATCATTGCAGTACGCTTGCTTTTATGTTAACTAATACATGAGGAAAAAGTGTTTCTGTGTGTTATAGACTCTTGCTTTCATACAATGTTTGAAGTGTGCTGTACATACTTTTCAAGCCATGTTTCAGACAGTGCTCCATGACCACAAAGAACTGCTGAAGAGGCGCATAGTCGGAGTCCAGCGTGCGTCCGAGGTTCAGAGCAGACTCGATCAGGCCCTTGATGCTCAGTTTGGCCATGTTCATCAGGTTAAGCCTTTCAATCGCAATGGGATCCTTGGGATCTAACAGAGAAGAACAAATAGGGAGAAGGAGGTCATAAGTCATGACACAGACTGTGGTCAGACAGCAGGAGGTACATTTAGTAAGATCCAATGTTTTCCAGGAAGTGTTGTAGTGTGAATAGGGCAGTACATGATGGTGACAAAACAAAAGACCTTTTCCTGGAAAGTTGGAAAAGATTGAAACTTAAAACTGACCTGATGCATTACCCTTAATACAATTATTAATATAAACATTAAACGATGAATAGCTTTGAAAAAGAGAATGGCGCTAACAATAACCAGAGACTAAAAGGCTTTTAGTAAAAGAGTTATACAGGGTTGTGCTCTCCCTTAGCATTTGTTTACATTTAATGAAACATCCAGATATTTGATCTGTAGTTTGCATTTGCTTGGACTTAAGTTATATAGCATGAAAGTATTGACTTCCAAGACAAAATGACGGATAATAAACTAAGGATAGGACTATGTGGGACTTTATCGTGAAACATCTGTCGTGGTGAATTGCCATTATTTGGGCCATGTTATTCAGGACACATAAAAGTTGGTATGTTATTGCAAAAATGGTGTAAATATGAACCACGAGTATCATTTGAATAGCTCAGATTACATTTGAAAAGCTTTTACTCATTGACTAGACATGGAAATATTGCAATAAATAAAAATGATCAGCTTGAATGAAATGACTCTGCAGTTCTAGATTTTCAGATACACATGGAAAATTAAATATCAAGCATCCCTGATAAACGCATTGATCAGACTTTAACATAAGAGAGTGGTGCTGATACATTTGGTTTTACAGTGGCCGGACAGAACAAATCTATCTGTTGTCTATGACATTTCCTCTGACATGTCATGACAGTAGAGAAGTTTGAAGTGCTGCAGTGTCAGACTTGCTAACCAGCTGGAGAAACAGTGTGAGCTGCCTCCTTCCTCTGGAAAACAGTGACCTGCCTGCTCTGTGCTGAGAGAAGGTGTGGCCAGAGAGGAGGAAGAGGAAGCCTTTGCTGTGCAGCACATACTCTGCTCCAATCCAATTAAACCATGAAACCATAGCAAAAACGTCCACATAAATTACGCAAAACAGAGCTGCAGCAATAAGACGATAAAGAGAAAAGTTATCGCCAACTATTCTATATTCAGTGATTTTATGCAAAAACATTCTAGCTTTCCAATATGGAGATTTCTTTTCTTCCGTGTTTTATATCACATTGAACTTAAATTATTTGGGTTCAAGACTAACATTAAGAGATACCACCTTGGAGTGCGAGAAACTGGGATGGACATTATTCACAGTTTTCTTCCATTTTATAGACGAATGGATTAATAAAGATAATGATATAGAGACTAATCGATAATGAAAATAACAGCTTGTTTATATCTGGATTCAGTTGCATCCTGTTTTGCTAAGTATCAGTGAGGGTAAAAAACATCACCAAGGCGCAAACCTATTCCTGATGTATGTTATAGTAAGATTAACGAAAGCAGACACCAAATATTACCCATCATCGCTGTCTATTTGATTTGCTGCAATCTAATTTAATCAAACGTCAAAACAAGTGGCACTTCCTGGTTGTTTTGTCGCCCGGCCCTGTCTTATTTACAGGCGGCGTCATCCTGCTGTGTTGCTCTCAGACTCTCTCATCAAACCCTGAAATCCATGGTGACACAGCTCAAACGGGACACATAAGCACAGTTCACTGGATTGAACGTGTTGCGTCTGGGGACCTTGTGCAACCACCACGCCCAAAACAGAGATCCCACTGTGCCCTGCAGCCCTCCTCAGGACCGTGAGCTAATCTGTCACATTACCTTCATGGGCCGGCTCTGGATCTGGCGTCAGAGAGATGTCGTTGAGCTCTCGAAGGCAGAGCCACTCGCCGTCCACAGACACGCGAAAGTTGCACAGATAAATGGTCTCTCGGGCGGCCTGGGTGATCTTGTCGTTGTTGGGAGTGGGGGTTTCGCTCTGAGGCGTCAGATCAGACATGATGACTCAGCTGATGCAAAACCAACACCACCGAGGGGGAAAAAAGGTGCTTTTGTTCGAAAAACAAGTCCCAGCAAATAACAGGTCAGAGGCAAGAGGAAATGAGAGAGGATGACGAAAGCATCAAAGCAAGGAGCAGAAAAAGGCCAAAGACAAGGAAGGCCTCTAGCAGCTCTCAGCAGGTGTCTGAAAGGGTGCTGCTTTCTTTTCCTCCTCTTTATGCCTGCATCCTCCTCCCCTCCTGCTTACAACTGAGTGGAATACGCGGCTGTGTTGAGAGAGGCTGCCCTTCCCTCTCCTCCTCCACCTCCTCCTCCACCTCTTGTTAGCCCTTTTGTACAGACTGGGGGATTTAAAATGCAAGAGAGCACAGTGTCGAAAATCACAACCCTCCTCCGGTCAGCCTAGCACCGGTTCACTGTGATTGGACTGCCTGTGCACCGCAGTGAATACACTGGGTGGGTGTCGACCAAGATGGCTGACAGCAGTGCTGGGTACAGCAGCACATTGTCACGTGAGCAGATGGTGCATGCGTAAAAAAAAAAGGGGGGGGGGGGTCCCTAGAGTAGTCCATGTCTAATGATGCAGCATTGAGGACTCAACAGTGTCCCCTGAGCTGGGTTAGAGGCAGGTTATTTGATCTTATGATTATTGAACAGGCTGCAGCAGGACAGCCAAAGCAGTGAGCAAATATAAGGCCAATCATACGGAAACATTTTTCATCATGTGATGTCTGTCTTAGAAAGTCAGAAATAAAGGCTTGTATTTCTGTAGTTTCCACATGCCAGGTGCAGGTTGGTCTAATTAAAAGGCTAAGTATTGATGAAAAGTTAAAATTAAGGGGATGATGTTTGTGTTATAGAGAGGATGGGAAAAATAAACGGATGACACATTTCAAGACAACAAAACATTACAACATTCTGTTGGGATGTTCATTTTGGGAGTCACTGTTTTTCTTTACAGTTACTAGTCAGACTAATTAAGAAATCAAAGCACCTCTGAGTGCCGAACAGCCTAAAGAACCAGGAAAAGTTGTAAACCGCTTATTATATAAATGTTTAAAAATTATTGTATAAAAAGGTATTTTTATGGCTTATAATATCTGAACAGCAGGATCAGATTTGTTTTCTTACTTGGCACGATGGCAGGTCATTGACATTTTTAAATGGACACTCAATGTTTTTGTGTGCCACTATTTAAATCTATGCAGAATACTTTAGAATTGGAACACCACTGCGTCAATGGTCATTGGACAGAATAAATAAGCAATAATAAATGGTACTTTCATTTGTGTTTAAACAAAAAAATGTTTTACATGCACATCCTTGCTGACAAGTTACCTGGAATTTACACAGCATTCACCTAACACTTTATTTGGCAAATGGCAGGTGCGTATTCCATTGTCTCGTATAGGATTCCTTTGTTATTGGCTGGTTTAGGAAGAAGTTGTCTATTCTGAACAATTGATCTTTCAGAAAATAAAATAATATATTTTGTATGTTGGCCAATTACTTAGTAAAGTACCAAACTCACTCCAAGTACAATACATAATGCCAAAAGGACAACATTAGAAAACAGCAAAGGAATAGGCAAAAATAAAAGACTTAGATTTGTTTCTTGTTTCTTAGAGTCGACTTACTGTAGAAGAAGCAGTCCCAGTTGTATCCATATTGCAGTATTTCATTTTGCAATATTTAGGGCAGTCTTGACTTAAGAGAAACTTAGTTGACCAACTACATTTTTACTAGTGGTAATAGTTTATTATTCAATCTATCATTTAATTTAATTGATAAATGTGCAAAACTGAGTTTCAACTAAAAGAATAATGCAAAATCACCAACTTATATATAATGTTTACAACATATGTGCACATAAAACCCTTTGAGGTTAGTCAATCAGCATTAAAATGACTAATTGAGTAAAGAAAATCTCAGTCGACTAAGTCTAAAACAACCAATTAGTCGACTAATCCTCTTGAATGGTGAAGCCTTAGCAATATGATGGTACAACGCTGACAGTCATCAACACAAACAGACAGGATGCTCACATAATTTCCCTCCTTACAAATGAGTGTCTCACCTATAGACAATAATGTTATGATGATGCAACATTAAACGAAATGACGTTAGTCTATCATGATGTGTTTTCTGTTCCTGGCATAATATGTTGTTGGTTGAGGTGAATTGTGGGAGATTTATCACAGACAGCTAGCTAATGTGTGACCAATCCACCGTTAAATGTAAACCATATCAGCCAGTGGCGTTGAGAAGCAATTAACCAAGTCAGACAAAACAGACTTTGACGCACAGGACGTTCCACAGAGGATCACATGCAACCGGATGAAGTTTACAGCAGCTATGTTTACTAATTGATACACCACTAAGCTGTCCTTTCGCAAACACATTTGAGGATGAAATATAACTAACAAGACAGTTTGTATTATGTATCATCTCCCTAACACAAGCTGTTATCAGTTTTATAAATCAAACGGAACGGAGGTAGTAAGTAGTTTGTTTAGGGACAGTCAAAAGTTAGCTAACAACCCTCACAAGCTAGCAAAGCTAACAGCAGGTACAGTTGTTATTGCTAGTACATTGCGGAGGCTACTGTTAACTAGCTGGACTATTTTAAAGTTCGTAAACACTTACTTCTGCGCTTTGACTCGATTCTCTCAATCCTGAAGTCATACTTTCGAAGCGGGGAGGGTGACAGCGACTCAGCCTTTCCAAATATCAAGTTAGAGGAGTTCAACGCCTCTTTGAAGTATATCACCGAAGTCGGAGAGAGGGTCTCATCTGGACTTTCAACGTGTCCGTTCTCATCTGAGGAATTTTGTCTCCCAGAACTTTCCTCTGAAAATGACTGCAGAGGTGGATGTCCCGGAGACACATCCCGCTCAGCCATCCTCTCTCCGGTTAGATCCCCTTCATGTGACCAGGGAGTGTGCTGTCGGTCAGTGGTCAGCCTGCTAGCAGCGATTAGTGGCCATGCACCTCCGTGTTTAGCAAAGCAAAACAATCGATAGGCCGGTTAGTTTACTCCTTTTCCCTAGGAATCACAACGCCTTTCGTCCTGTCCTTCACAACCTCCACCTGACCCGGAAATAGCTTTGCGTTAGCATTTTGTTCAAATCTGTTGCTAATTTCGCGAGAGTTTGCGCGCTGTGTCAGCATTCCAGCAATTCGTTCACATGACCAGAGATTGTTCATATAAGGGGAGATACGTCACTAGCGGTAGACCCATGACTGAAGGCCTGGAAGCTCCCACGATTCATTGCGACACCGGCCGGAGCTCTTGTGCCTCTTCTATTTCTGAGACTCTCTGATGAAGTTCTTGTTTTCTGTGTTAAAAGGACACAGACATTACCTTAACGAAAACAATTTGTATGATACAAGGTACTTTTTGTCATGAATGAGTGCGTATTTATAATAGCAACGATGTCAGATGTATACATTTGGTTTTAAAATGACATAAACAGGGTAATATATTGTGACCAGACGCTCCTGTCTCATGTAATACCCCAAATGGACACTAGAAGGAGATACATTACAAATATGACTCAGGTGGCAGGAGCATAGACTGTAGTCCTATATGGGCAGGAGTTAAAAGAGACTGTAACACATGTGCTTTCTTTCTCAATATACATTTTTTTGGACCAGCTGCATCTGCCAGGTCAGACATTTGTAACATTTTAGACCAATTTCAAATAAAAGGCCAAACATGTTGGTTTTCTGTTACGACTTTGGAAATGTTTTTCCAGTTTTTATGCATAACTTACTTTATTTAGTCATCAAGAATATCACATTTAAGATGTTGTCAGATTATCTCGAATGGTAGGAAATAGCCCCACAGTGTCTCCGGTGTTAACCAGAATGATATGAGACAGACTTTTAATTTAAGCCCAGTAAATCAATGTCACACTCTAGTCTAGACAACAGAGACACATTTACCCAAAACACAGCCCATATTACATAATCTGTAAGAGCAATGTGCACCATAAGGGACAGAAACCAGCAGTTCAGATCTGCACATCATGTCTCACTGTCTTTTGTTACAGGTTAACAGTAACATGAAAACTACAACACTGACTCAGTTAGGTCTGCATGCCTCTGTTTTCAGGCTCTATTTAATCCTCTTTTTGACGGAAATCAACTGCAGATTAATTGATAATTAAAATAATTGTTGGTTGCAGTACTACACTTTGTGTTATTCTTTTCAATTAGCACCAAATTGAGGTTAAGATTTGTGGTTTTGACTGAAATGTCTCTGCAATTCTTTTATGGATTGTAGTCAAATTTGTTTCATTAGAATGAATTGTAATAACTTTGTTGATCCATTTCTAAGTCAGTACAAAAGTACTTATTATGCAAAATGGCCCTAATAAGAATTCAATAGTGTGCTTATCTCTTGTTGTAACGAAGGTGGGGATTACATGCTGCTGCATACGTTAAATTAAACTAATTCATCATACATTATTAGTTAGTTCATTTATTTGTGTAATAATAATCTAAATATGCAAAAAATAGTCATTATTAAGTTAAGCTATCAAATAAATAAAGTTAAGTTAAACAAGCAATATTTGCCTCCAAGTACTGAACTCAGCACTCAGTTATATACAATAAAAGTGAAATCCATTTAATGCAGCTGACTAAAATAAAATCCGGTTTACTTATGTTTTAAAAATGAATGAGCAGCTTATTTTGCATAACTTGAAAATAATATTAAATAAACAATTATTATCCCTGAAACAATATGCGATTTCACACCAAATACTTTTCCCAGGAATAGTTCCCGGAACTTAGTTCCCCGGAAATCTTTAATTCCAGAACTATCTAGTAGATCGCGTTCACATCGGCGTTATGGGTGGGCCTACTGGGCCTAGGCCCACCCACTCTGTCACTGGGCCCACCCATTCATTGATCAAAAATGACTGGGAGAAAATTATAGTTTCCAACATTTTGATTTTTGATTATCAAAACTAACAATTCAATAATAAAATAAGAGCAAACATGTGTTTCCCTTTAAAAAAAATGATACAATTAAAAGCAACATGAATTAGCGTAATCAGGCAACGTAAATGTGAATTGGACCGAACTCATAGTGGAAGCGCGGGAGCAAACACATCGTAGAACGTCTTGCGGGCGCTCGCAGATGAAGGAGGACAGTGGACTACACTGGACACACACAACAAATATACCGCACTCACTAACGATGTCACAACAATCGATGTTCAGGTTTTTTAAAAGAGTAAGAACAGAGTCGCTGCCGCCGGAACCAACACACTCATCATCATCCTCACAGCAGGTACCGCCTCAGAGCAAGATTGCAGGCGAAAAACCTTTTAAAATGCGTGTTTTCTGAATGGAGATCGGCTAAGCTAACGCAGTATATGCTCCGACCGTCCACACTCACAACAACGGCCTATACAGACA